CAGTGGGATTCTTTGGTTACCTGTTTGCTGGGGAGTTTCCTTCATCAAAGGGCCATATCTTGCATTCCTTACTCAGGCAGAACGCCCACTTAAGTCAGGACTTGGCTGAAAGATTTTAGACTTACAGGTTTATTAATTTTTAAGGTTTTTTTTCCCCAAACAATTTATGTACAATTTCATTATCAAATAAAAATGCCAATTTGCCCAAGTATGAAATTGAACAATAAATGGAAGTCCAGGAACTTGTTTTGTCCAATATCTTTTTCCAAGGTGCAGTTACACATTAATACAGTTCTAAAACAGAGAAGAAAATGCTTGAGATGCCTCACTCCATGGTGCTTATTTAGTTCTAAATGCTGACTGTTTCAAAGAGAGATGTTTCCAGCGATTTGCCATTCAACAAAACGTTACCAAAGTGTGTACTGGGGGGAGGGGGTGGGTGCAAGAGGGGTACGCAATCAATTAAGCTCCTTGAATGTATTTCCATTGGAATTATTTTTATAAAGCATATTAGACAAATTATGATACTCCCTTAACAATGAAAAAGGCAAATGTATGTATTCTAGCCTTTGCTATACTTATTCTGCTTTACTTTTGCTGTTTTCTGTTGCAATTTGACCCATATATTTATTGACAGATGAGTGGTAAAGTCACTCTTCTGCTCCTTGCAGTTGGCTTTTTCCTTTTGTCCCGTTGCAGTGTGAACTTGATAGATAGGAATAGATCAATGCAAACTGACAACCGTATGTAGTTCTTAAACACGCCTGAACTAAAATGTTTTTGAAAGTAATAGTGCTCTCACTATAGAATAAATGCCCAGGTTTTTTAGGTTAAAAAAAAGATGACTGAGAGGCAGTAAGATAGTGAAGAATGGTGTGGAAAAAGCAAAGAAGTATTTGCTATTTCTCCTAATGATAAAATTAGGCAATATATGATGAAATTCTTAGCAGGTTTTAAATGAGCAAAAGGAATGCCTCCTACTCCCTGCCACCTCATCATTAACTTGTGGACATCATTGCCATAAAATGTTGTAGAGGCTCAGAATTTAACCATGTTCAAAAGGAGGCTGGACATATTCATGGAGGGTAGGCTTATCAGTGGGTTTTAAACATGGTAGTTAGGACTTCCTAGGTCTCTGGATGCTGGAGTCGGTTTAAAAGAGGTGGGGAGGGAGCAAGGGCAGGAGACAGATCAGTCTGATAAGCCCTACTTAAATACCGTTTCCCTTACCGTGCACACTGCCACTTTGAGATAAAGATGGATGGACCTGTGATCTGACCCAGTGTTTGGAACATGTTCTATAACATTTATTTTTTTCCATGTAAATAGTTTTGATTGCAGTGGTGAAACAATACCTCTAAAGTTCATTCACTCCATTAGACAAGTATCATTTCTGTATCCAGTTAATAACTAATCCTCTAACTGAAGTGTTGTCAAGACCCTCTGCAGTAGCAATTAAAGGGAAATGGTGAAAAGTAAATCCCCTGCCTGAAAGGGTTTATTTTGGAAGGGTAGAAAGGAAAAAAGGAGAGTTGTTTCACCATTTACAGCCCTTTCCTTTACCTTCTCTAGCTATTTGTCTATCCAATTTCAGATTACTTTTCAAAGGACCTGTCCCTAACTGACTTGGTACTTCAAAATTTAGATTTGAAAAAAAACCCAAATCCACTGGAAGAGGGCTTATATTAAATAGCTTCTGTTCAATACTCAATAAAAATCTGCAAAAGTAAACAATTTCATAGTGTAATCTTATCTTGAGGTCTAGGTCAAAAGAACTTCTAAGATAAGGCACATCAGCTTCCCTTCTTTAGTATGTGGGGATGACTAGCTTGGTTTCCCTGTAAATCTTGCACAAAGGGATGATCTGCTAAATTATAGAAAGACCCAAGCTAAGTGCAGATCAATCTGTTAACTAAATCATAAATTCAGTAAAAGTTAAGACTGGGTTAATACAAACAGAAAAGCCTGCCCCTGCAACCTAAGTAGTAAGATAGCACACCTGGGAAACAAGATGATGGGGTCAGGAATAAATTATCCAAATCTGTTTTTTGGATCCTGCACCTGATTACTGAGGAAATTCAAGGGGTGAACTATTTTGTAGGAAAAACAGAGGGAGTAAAAACTAAGGTTTCACCATTATGCCTACCATATCTGTTGTCTGTTGGGACCTTCTGTGGCATTGGGTCTTTCACTCTGCTGATCCTAAAAGGTGTCCTGACTAGACACAGCCTGAGGGGCTGACCAAATGATGTCCCTCCACCAGGCTTGCTTCAGTTCTTATCACCACTTGAAATATGGGTTCCTGCACTTACCTGTCCTTTTCTTTCTCAATATGTTTTTTTGCTTTTTCTTCTGTTTATGTCTGGTTTAAACTGATCAAGATTATTGTAAAAGCAACACAGCTGTAAGCTTGGTCACTAATAGCCTGATGGTGGTACCAGCTTGCCAGGCCTCAAAGTGACTGATAAAACCATGCTGGGCTTTGGTTTCTCCAGCAGCAAGATTACTAGGGACAGCAGCTGCATTTCCTGTCTTTGCTGTTCTTTGCTCTCATTTCCACTTTTGTAGGTGTACTCTTTTGACCTTAAGAAAATGAGATTGAATTCTAATACCACTTCCAGCCTCATTTTGAGTATTTCTCTCTCTTCCCCAAAAAGGATAGTAACCTCAGACAGCATCTAAAAAACTGTCAGATAATTAGTGGTGCTGTGTAAAATGCATATGCACTCTCCACTGCAAAGGCTGGAATATAAGGACTCTCCTCCCCCCAGATGTCATAATTGACAGACTACTCTTCTACCTAGTGAGAGGTTTGGGTTTGAAGCTCCTCAGCCAGAGAAGTGAGATGTTTCATGAGTTGGGTGAGTACTTTAACCATCATGCCATCATAAAAAGGGGTTACCTAACCTTCACTAAGCACTGTGTTTTGTAGAAAGCCAGGTCCATTCATTGTGCTGAGAACTGGAGCCATAACCTAGGTCCCAGCCTGCTCAGTCCTGTGAAGACTGAGGTACTTCTACTTTTGCATCTGCAAAGAATTTCAAATACTAGGGGAACTTTAAGATAAAAAAAATCTGGTGCTACGGATGTTCAATAGGAGCTGAAGGGGAGATTCAGTTTTCTGGTTTACAATGTTAGACTTTTCTGACTGAGCCCCAGCCAGCACTTCCCTCACAATTAACAAGGGGCAGGGCTGTTGACTTCTGTCATACAGAGAAGGCTTTATCTTTTCCTCCCTCTGTAGGGAGAAAGCATTAAGAGAACAAGGGGCCTAGGATTTGTACATCATGCTGTTAAAATGAAGAAGTGACCTTGCAATCGCTATATAGTAAAGAGTCCACAAAAAGTTATGATATCCTGTACTAATACACTGTTAATCCACACCCTTGCCAACTTTACAGTTTGTGTTCCCAAACTGACATACTCTAGGATGAAATATATATTGCTGCATAAATTAAGAAGCCCTTCCTCTTCAGTTCAATAATTTAGACTCCCCTCTGGGAGAAAGAGAAAAAAAGGTTTCCTCCATGAACATGTATCTTTTGCATCCCACTTTTCAAATCTGAGTGTCAAGTATCAGTGGAGGGGTTCTGGCATGAAACATACCTGTGGTACTGATGAAAGGAGCATCCAACTAAAATTGTAATTATTTTTGATAAGCTAGTACTGTCTCTATGATGGTTATCAGAAGTCCAAGTACAAAAGGCAAAAGGACACTTTCCTAGTTAACTGACTGCCAAAAGCAGAAGCCTAAAGGGCCAGTACTGCACCCTGTCCTGCACCCATCTTTCCTGCTCTGGCTCTAGCAGCAGGGAGGGCAGAGCAGCATCAGTTTGCTACTGCTCCACTGGTCTTCAGCAGCAAGACAAGAAGGTGACATTTCCCACAGAAGCATTGAGCTGTCAGTTGCTGCTCTTACAACTAGCATTATCAGGTAGTTCTCTGCCTAGGCCCCCACCCAGCACTAGAACTGAAACAGGGAAGTTGCCGAGACAGAGGAGTAGGGGGCAAGGCAGGGGGAGTGAGGCATCCTACAGCTCTATTCCAGCCCCCATGTCCTACCTTTACATAGTGCCTGAGGCTCATGTCCTGCTCACTCACCTCTCCTTAAGCTACTGGCCAAGAGCATTCATTGGTTGTAGCTTTTAACTACACCGGAGATTCTCAACAAGGGTGCCATGGCACCCTGAGGTGCTAAGATATTCTCTTAAGTGGCATAGAGTGCTTTGCAATATTAGCACTGTTAGGTATGCAAACACTTAGAGACAATTCATAAGATCAACCCAGATATTTCAAATAGCAATCCACACTGTAAAAGGCATTCTCCCCTTTGTGGTCTTTCTGAGTTCTTTGCAACAGAAGAATGGCTTTATTAGATTTAATATGTCTTTTTTGACTATAGAAAAGAGCTAGCATTTTATGGCCGGTGTCTTGAGTCTAACAAGCTGAGAACCACTGAACTACACAATGCAGAATAAGAGAAGACATATAAAAGCTTAACCCCCATCTTCCATGGAAAATCAGAGGGGATTTCTGTACATCACCCTTTGTTTTCATGAGAAATCCCTCCCTAAATCAACACCTTTACCATCAATGAGCTTATACCCCTAAGGTTTTTCTGATATTTCTCTTTTATAGAAGCCCTATGCCTTGTCTGCATTCTGTAGGATTTTCTGTTAAAAATCTATGTGCATGTTCTTTAAGACATGCTTGAAATAACATTTCACAATTCCTTCAGCCAGGTTTCACAATTATTCCTGGTTACAGAAAAAGAAAGACCTGTACTTATGTTCTCGCTCTCCACTTAGAACTACTCAGCTTATTAAGGAGCACTGCTCTTTTCTTGCACTTCTGACAGAACAGAAATGCTCTTAAAAACTACCATATGTAGGTTAGTACCAAGTTGCTCTGAGAACTACTTTTCCAACTCCAATAAATTATATGGAATCTGACATGCTTCTAGATATATTGTTCTTCAGAGAGGACAAAGTAAGCAGTACTACATGTCACCATTAGTTTAATACTGTAGTAATGATCTCGTGTGTTATGGTGCAGTATGAGAAGAAGAAACAAACCTTTAAGTGTACAACATCTTCAAGTTTTATGTTAGTCTTTACCTTTAAACTCTCTTTACATAGTAGTTCCATTGAACATATGACTAAAGGTGAAGACTAGTCCCCTACAAAATCAACAGCTGCTTCTAACAGCATCTATATACACAATAATTTTTACATACAAAACAGAACAGATTCCCTTTCACAATATATTTTCCCAAATTCACTGCCTATTAAAAAAAAAAACTATTAATAATTTTCTAGAGTTCTTAGGAGGGTCGAGAACAAGGTAGATATACATCTTCATTAGTTTTGCTCTGAAGGTTCAAATTTTCTCCACTCCTCAAAGCCGCCTGCATAATGCTGAACTCTGAAAACATACAGAGGATAGGCAGTATTACGGAAGTGCTACTGATGATAATCTTGTGAAAAGTGCTTGGCTAAAGGAAAGAATAAACAGAAAAACCCAAACCAAAACCACAAATCATCGTATGTAAAACTGCAGTGCACCAAATGACAGAATTCATTATTACAAAGTAGAATCTAACTGCTCCTGGTGTCAAGGAGAAAATGCAAGGAATGAAATGGCAGTAAACCTCAACTACTTGGTTAAGGGTAGAAGGTGGGGAGGATTGGCTCAATACTTGATCAATTAGTTGCTCACTCACACATCCCAGATGCTATCTTTAATCCTCTCCTAAACCTAACATCTAGGCCCACAAAGAATGCCAAGAGTTTTATATATCAGTTAAATTCTCTCCTGTCTTGGCATCAAAGTAACAAGAACCCCGCAGGCCAAATACAGCTTTCAGTTACACCTATGGTGCCTCAACGATCTTCAAGTTATGCTCTTCAACTAGGAGGTCAAGTGTATTCTGAGGACATATCATTGAAGGCAATGGGCTTGCACAGGTGACACTGCAATTTCAAGTTAGCTACCAATTCTGTTAACATGCAGGAAAGCAAGATTGCTTATCCTCCCAGAGTTGTTCTGATTCTACGGAGGTAATTAATAGTGAAAATGATGTATTATATCAATAGACAGTGAGAAACAGCCAAATAGAAGTCAAACTGGAACATGAGTACTGGTCATCCTATTTCATCTTTCATATTTGAATTTCCTGTAACGATCATCTTGTAAAGCTCCAGATGAAGATTCTACTTTTCAGCAGGAGCCCTTTCATTGAAGAACATTAACCTATCCTTTATACAGGAATTTACTTGGACTGCAGTTAGCTTACCTGCTGAAACCCAAAGACATGGCAATATCCAATGCTCCCTTGCTTCTCACTCCTGCCATGCAAGAGAAGACTATGTGGTCCAATTTAGCAGGTATATCTTGATTGTACTGCTCTTTGAAGTCTTCTGGGTTCATCCGTAGAGCTTCCACAGCTTCACCCACTGTAAGGACATGCAAAGCCTCATTTATGTTTAATCAGGGGTAGGCAATTATTTTGGCCGGAGGGTCACTTAACAAGTTTTGGTGAGCTGTGGAAGGCTGCACACACAAAAGCTTTCAGAAGATATCATTTTAACTAATTATAGGTAAAAAAAAAAAAAACAAGTCACATGCTAAAAATCAAACATCTACTATATTTTAATTTTATTTAAAAAATAGTATTTGTCCTTATTTTTTTTTTGAGTAGTGTATATAGAGGCAATTGTGTAATAGCTCAGAATAAAGTCTGAGCTACACCCCAGAATAGTCTTACTCTTGTATACAATGTGGGGGTGTATAGGGAATTGTATGAGATGTCAGGGGGTGCTGCCTGGCCCCTAAGTCTGGGGAGCTGGCCAGGGGGGAAGAGTGGGGAGGAACAAAGAGCAGACAGGGGACATGTACAGCACAGCTTGCCCTAGGTGGTGCAGCACAGGTGCAGTTCGTGGCTATCCTTGTGACACTCCACGTGGGTCTGAGCCCCACCTGCTCCTGCCTGGGGCAGCCTATGCTGAGCTTCCTCCTGCACCTACCAGCCCCAGTCCCAGTCAGTACACGCAGCTTCCCAGCTGGGCTGCTCCTAGTGTGGCTGCAGCTGCCGCTCAGCTTCCCCCACGTACAGCAGCTCCTACCCACCCAACACAATGAGCAGCCACCTGCAGGCAACCAAGTGGGTGGAAGGCGGCTGGAGCTGGAGCCCCACCCACTGAGGCTGGAGCCACCCACCTGCAGCTGCTCCCCCTGCCAGGAGCAGCGCAGCAGGGCAAGAGGAGCTGCTGGAGGCCAGCAGCAGGTGGGGAGGGTGCCAATCCATATCCTAGTAGCTGCATCCAGACCAGGAGAAGCCCCGCCAGGAAGCTGTGCATGCTGGCTGGGGCTGGGGCCAGGGGTGGGAGTGTGGCATGGGCTGCGCTGGGTGGGGCTCACCCCATGCAGAGTGCTGCAGGGACAGCCATAGGTCAGGTCCAATTAATTGGTGGGCACCCCCTGCAGGCCAGATCCAGCCCACAGGCCATATTTTGTTCAACCCCGCATTTTAATCCATGAAGCAGTTTGGTTTGTGAAGATTTCCAATAAGTAGTTTTTATGAAGTCATCACGAGGCAGCTTCTGTTATTTTGGAGTTTCCCCCACATGCCCCCACTGCTGATTGGCAGAGGGGACCTATCACTTGCTGCTTGTGCCTGATGGCCAGGAGGTGAAAACTGCAGCTGCAGTTTCAGGTGTGGGTGGCGAGCAATGCCGTCCCCTCTGCCAATCAGTGGCAGTGGCAGCGGGGGGAACTCCAAAATTAAAGAAGCCTTAATGCCACATGCTTCCAATGCGAATTCCAGAGATCCCTTGTCATCACTACTTGTTTGCAAATTTGTGCTCAGTGGTCTTTGACCTTTTAACTATTTAGTCATGTTTATGATCACTTACATGGTATATTGATGGACCCAGGGATTTTTCCAAACTTGCCAATTTCCCATTTCTCTCGGACATCAATATAAATAGTCTGGGATTTTAGGAGGTCTTTAAGTTCTTTGTAGGAGATACTGTGATCAACAGTAGTGGAAAGGTTATAAAAGATCACATTTATGGTCTTCAAATCTGGGAGAGAAAAGGATAATTATCCCACCAAGAACTGCAAATAGATCTGACATTTTCATGCACTCTTATTTGTAACACTTTTTAATCCAGGAGACTTGCAAATATAGATGTTAGAGAATTTTCAGTGGCAAGTGTCAAGGGAAGCCTTGAAAAAGAATTTGGTTTCTACATTTGATTGCTGTTAAAAAATAAATTCCATTTCTTTTTGCCAGCTGAGAAATCATGAAGGCAAAAGTCATGAAGCTACTGGAAAAATTAGTGAAGCTTTAACTACAAAAATGCAATTTATTCTTTGTTAGTCTTACATTAAGGATTGTGCTCTTTGGTACAAATATTGATCCACTCGCATTTTAACAGAAGTCTGATGAGGAAAGAAAGCAAAAGGTAGGGAAAAGTGACATCTTAGGGTGCGTCCCCACGAGTGCACATGTGCAGTTTGTAGCACCACAAACTGCATGTAGCACATGCTGCACTGCTAATTTGCAGTGTGGCAAATTTTTTTTGATGCTGGGAGATCCCGGTGTAAAAAAAAAACTGCCACTAAAAAAAGTGGTTCAGCACACGCAGCAACAGTGTGAGCTGCCAGAAAGAGAGCCTGGCTACTGGGCAGGCTCCAAGCACCTGGATCGCTGCCACTGCTGCCGTAGGAGGACAGCCTGCTGGGGCCAGCCCAAGTGGTGGCCCTAGCTTCCCTTACCCCACCCAGAGCAATTTACTGCATGCCCAAGCACGTGAGCAGGGGTATGCCCAGGGACAAATAGCAGTGGCACAAATGTGTGCCACTGCCATTTGTCCTGCAGGGAACATGCACCCCTGCACATGCACACTCATGGGGAAATGCCCTTAGAAGCTTACTGGTTCAAAGACATGATCTTTTGTAGGCAACAACATACTTCATCAGATGTCATTTAAGGAGAAACCAGAGCTCTGGAGTTGCTTGTTCTACTTGCAAATTCCCAGCACCAAGGACAGCAGGAGAGTTCTACTACAGTAAATTTGGCCAATTAAGGGACTAATAACTAGGGTTCAGCTCAGTTGGATCATGGAGTACTCATTGCTGTCGTCTACCCAAAGTCCTAATCTCAGCAAACATGTCATTTCAGTTAGGAACCTGCATTTTTATGCTCTCATAAGGACTCCAAACTTACCTTATAAAAGGAAACCCCAAATAACTACCAAAAGAAGCACTTTCAGGCCCTTTTACACCAGAAAGCAAACACAGGAATAAGACAGTTTCATTTTTAACCTTGTTGCCTTGAAAGGATGCATAATAAAAACAGTGATGTCCTGTACAAGTACCCTGTATAGAAGCAGAGTTCTTCTACGGCCAGTTACAGGGAAACCAAAGATTTAAAATAGATCTTTCTAACTCTTATATCTGAAGACAGAAGTGGTAATCTGCACTAGTCTGCAATAATCAGACAGAAGGTAGCATAGGATTGTCCAGCTCTGGTATGGCTGGGGGGCACATACACCACCAGTGTGCAGCCACCATATCACACTGTGGTGCAGCATGTGCACCACTGTTGCACTTCCTGACACACAGGTCCCTACCACCAGCACACAGAGCCCTAGGATCCTCTCTCCCAGGTGGCACACAGACCTTTCCCCAGGCCCTGCCCCACACATGGCAGCAAAAAAGGCAGCTGCTGGGGCCTGTAAGCCACAGCCTAAGCACTCAGCACTCCCCAGCCACCTTTGGACTGCCCTGAGCTAGGGCACAGCGGCCTGTTGGGCCACATCCAGATGAGCATGGGCACGTGCTTGCAGCAGCACAAATAGCAGCAAGTCAAATTTGTGCCACTACTTTGTGCTGTAGTACCTGTCCCTGCACATGCCCTTTGTTGTGGGCCATGCCCAGGTCCTCCCAGCTCCTGGCTGGGCTTCATGTGCTACAGGGAAGGAGGGGGACTGGATGGGGCACAGGGTGCCTCAGTGCAGGGCTAGCTGGCAGGAAGCCCCTGAGCTGAGGCACCCTGCATCCCAGCCAGCCAGGGAGCGGCACATGGAGATGGGGGAACAGTCAGCTTAGGGCTGCCTGCTCCCTCATCTCCATGCGCTGTGGAGGCCCTGAGCTGGGGGGCAGTATGTCTCAGCTCAAGGGCTCCACAGGCCACCCAACTCCACGTGCCACTTCCCGGCTGGGGCACAGTGCCTCAGTGCGGGGGCTCCCTGTGCTGAGGCACACAGACAGTGGAGTAGCCAGCCCAGGGCTGCCTGCTCCCCAATCTTGAGGCACACTGCGCCCCAGCCAGCGACTCTCTGGCTTCCTGGGCACAGTGCAGCTCAGCTCAGGGGCTCCACAGCACTTTGTCCTGGCACACAATTTTGGCATGCTTTGCGCTGCTTTTTTCTGGGGGAGGAGAGGGGGAGTTTGCTACTAGGAAATCCGGGTAGCAAATGTTGTCCGCACACTACAACTTAGCAGCGCTGCCCATGGTTTAACATGCAACATGTGCAGTTTGCGGTTCCACAAAGAGGCTTGTGGTACCACTGCCCATGCCTGTGTTTCTGGATATGCCCTTGGAAACCAACTGACTCAGTGGCCTGATCTTCTGTAGGCAACTACCCTCTTCATTAGGGCCAGACACAGGCATGAGTGACTTGAGTGGCTGCCCAGGGCCTGGCCAGAAAGGGGGCCCGAAAATGGTAATTTATTTATTATTATCATCATCTCTGGCAAACTGGGGGCCTGATA